AACTCAGTAGGCTCGCTCATGTTCGGCTCGTTTACAGCCCTAATAACAAGAGTTGAATGCAGTCTCTCTTGTGTTCCCTTCTTTTACACCCCTTCATGATAAGGAACTCAGTAGTTGGCCGGATGATCCGGAGTCACCAAATACAGCAACGAATCGGTATTCCGTCATCGCTGTCACCGTCAGAATGGGGGGCCGGTTCTTTGACGGCTTCAAAACAGCCACAATCTAGCGGTATTCCGTCACGACCTACATCATCGTTACCGTCAACTAACGGCCAGTATATCACATCTGTCACCGTTAAGTAACGGCTTTCATTTGGCCCCGTTATCTTTCCATCCATCTCCTTTCTTCCCCGAAGCTGAGAATGGCGGAACAGCTCGTCGCATGCAGTCGTTGATAAGAAGAAAAGAGGTTATCTGAGATCATCGGCTCTGATTCCGCTGTCAGCGTTTTCTTCCTCTCGCCCGCGTCGTATCTCATCTTTTCCTGGATTTTTGTTCTGTCTGATAAGGACATTCTCCAGATCGGGGTTCTTCTCTTTTATCACCTTACAGTTTCCCGTCTGATCAAACCTTCTTTGATCATTTCAATCTGTAAGAGGTTTTTGTTGTAGTCCCGCGTGTTCATTGTCCTTAGCGAAGAACTGGTTGGATTGTGAGGAGATTTAAGTTTATGTTTTTTATGTTGTTTTCTTGTGCTCTTACTATGCAGCTTATCGGTTAGGGTTGTCGGTTATGTGGTGAACTGTTCGTCATGCCCGGTGTGGCGGGGGTATAAATTAGTCTATTTCTGAAAACTGAGTAGGAGATCAGGATCGAGATCGAGGTGAAAGTGGGGAGAGAAAGAGAGAGAGATTTGAGATAGAGAAATCTATTTCTCCATGGGAGAATCCTTCCTAACTTCTCTGACTATGGACAACTGCTATCCTTCCACCTTCCTGTCTATGGAACCCGCTAACACTGGGGCAGCAGCTATGGCGGCATCCCATGAAGACTCTGATCGGGAGCTCATGATTCATAATCGACAGCAGATGTCCCTTTCGCTTCCTGCACCTGACATTAACCTTCCCCTCTCTGCTGAAAGCTCCACTCCGCCGCCGTCCTGGAGCTCCGATTCATGCGAGATCCTTGACCTCAGCCCTCATATGAATGAAGTTGAGGCCACCGTCCTCCATTTCCCTAAGGTGTGTAGCCGCAAGGGTACAAAGAGGGGCGATAGCTTTTGGGGCGCATCGTTTTTCTTCAACCACTACTTTAAGCCCTTGCTTTCTGAGAAATCCAAGGCGAAGATCATCTATGATGAAAATGGGTTCTCTGGTTTTGATAAATCTGATCTAAAGCTTGATGTTTTCCTGGTTCAGCATGACATGGAGAACATGTACATGTGGGTTTTCAAGGAAAGGCCCGATAACGCGTTGGGAAAGATGCAGCTTCGGAGCTATATGAATGGTCACTCTCGACTTGGCGAATCCCAGTTCCCTTTCAGTGTTGATAAAGGGTTTGTTAGATCCCACCGGATGCAGCGCAAGCATTACAAAGGTTTATCAAACCCTCAGTGTATCCATGGCATTGAGGTCGTGAGGTTGCCCAGTTTGACTCATATTCCAGAGGAGGATCGGAAGAAGTGGATGGAGCTTACTGGGAGAGATCTGAACTTTCACATACCGCCTGAAGCTAGTGACTTTGGATCATGGAGAAATCTTCCTGTCGTAGATATTGAGCCCGATCGACCTTCTCCTCTGCTGAAACATGGCTCTTCTAGGAGATTGCAAAATGGTTCAGGGTTGAATCTTCTTAATCATGATCATGATTCTGATGCGATGGACTTATCTCTTCATTCAAACAAACGCAGGAAGGATTCCTTCTCCCAATCTATGGAGGAAGATTGTTGCTTTCTCCCAAATTCTCATCCAGATAGGTCTCAGGATATGGAAATTCATTCAATCGAGCCATCATGGATCAATGATTTCAGTGGTGTGATGAGAAGCGCTTGTGGTCCTGTTACTGCAGCAAAAACAGTGTATGAAGATGATGAAGGTTATCTCATAATGGTCAGCCTCCCCCTTTCTGATCAGCAAAGAGTGAAGGTATGTTGGAGAAATGATCTCACTCATGGAATAGTGAAGATTTCTTGTGTTAGCACGTCTCGAATGCCTTATATAAAGAGACATGATCGAACATTCAAGCTCACAGACCCTTCTCCTGAGCATTGCCCTCCTGGGGAGTTTGTCAGAGAGATATCACTCGCCACTCGGATTCATGAAGATGCTAAGATAGAGGCATATTATGATGAGACTGGAACTGTTCTAGAGATAATGGTTCCTAAGCATGGTTCTGAGCCTGAAGAACATGAAGTTCATGTTTCTCTTCGTCCTCCACATCTTGGAACTAATGATCTTATGCTGATTTGAAAGCTTCAGATTCATGGTTTCATATTTGGTTGCTGTGATTAACTACTTCTAAATTAGTTAAGTCATCATGAAGCTTGACTTAGCTGAATAGATTCTAATCTTGCTCATAGAATTCTTATAGTTTGCTTTATTTGGCTTGAATTATGATGGGAGCTCACAATCAAAATTTCGCATTGAATGGTCTGGATTTTTTCTTAATAGTACTTCTCAGAAAGCAGGTGCGGAGACGGATAAAAAACTATCCTTTTTTTCCTTTTTATTAGTCAATTTCTTGCATGATTTCTGCATACCATTGATAATTTGATTTATGTTTTCTTAAAACGGTATACAAATTTATGAATTGCAATTTGTACAAATATTATATTGTATTGTGATGTGTTCAGCCTTTTTATGTCTGCTGAGATGATTAGTTAATAAAGTTTTATCTTTTGCTTCGAATGGAAAAAATACTAGATGTTGTTCAAGTAGTTTGATGGAATTATTTGTATTTGGTAATGCAGCAGGCATTGTGATACCCCATGGTGTATTCTTGTAATGTTGACCATGCCACTTTGTTTGACAACGTTTAGCGCTTCCATTAACTACTAATATTTCATTTGGCAATGTTCTGCGAACTTCTAACGAGGGCTGTAAACGAGCCGAACTTGAGCGAGTTGAGCCTCAGCTCATTCCAATTTGGCTCGTGTTTGAATGGCTTGTCTTCGAAATGGCTCGTCTTCAATGTGTTTGTGGTCGGCTCATGTTCGGCTCGAAATAAGCTTTGGTAGATTATAAAATGTTGCTAAATCGCGCCAATAATACCTCAGACTACAGAATAACACCGATAACACCCGAGAAACACCCACAATAACACCTAACACCCAAATAGCACGGAATAACACCGCGGACGGCGGAATAATGCTGATAATGTAGCGGGTGTTACTCGGTGTTATTCTGCGGTACTATTGGTGTTATCGGTGTTATTCTGCGCTTAAAGACGATAGAGTAATACCGATTACACAACGGGTGTTACTCGGTGTTATTTCGCGGTATTGTTGGTGTTATTGGTGTTATTCCGCGGCGAAATAACACTAATAACAATGCAGATGGAGGAATAACACCGATAACACGGCGAGTATAACTCGAGTGTTATTCAACAAATATATGTTCGTGTTCGGGTCATATATTTCGAGCTTTAAAATCTGTTCGTGTTCGGCTCGTTAAACTTAATGAAGGAGCTGAACATGAGTTGTTTGCGAATAATGAGCCATTTTGACTGCCCTACTTCTAGCAGCGTAACCAAATGAAATTCTAGTTTTTATAATTTGTTGCAGTAAACTATTTTAATTCTATGTAAATATTACCAAGGCTTGATGAAAGAGAAAGCTTCCTTCTTTTTGACTCTTTATGGGAAAATACGGAATTTCAAAAGGTTTCATCCTCATTTTTCTTTTTAAATTTCTGAACTCCCCCATTTCCCAGCTTCAAAATTCCACCGTCATCCTCCCTTATATTTCCACACAAACTTATCCAAACCAATGCGAACTTACTTGGATCATCATGAACCCAATTGGAAGCATTTGAGCTCCCCTTGCTTCAAATTCCATTATAATGAAATTTCACACTTCTTCCTCTCTAAATTTATTGTCCCTTTTTCATTTTGGTGAATTCATAAAAGTTTGTGATTTACCGATGAACAACATTTATGACTAACTAGATAACGAAAGGCTTGATCTTGTCACGATAAACAGCTTGATCTCTCCAACTCGTTATTGTTTTTATTCTATGTTGACTCAAGGATTAGGTTGCAAAGTGATGAATGAACTCTATGAGTTTCCTCTTACTTCACCTCAGTTTGACTACACGATAGTTTTTATGATCCTTTCTGTTTCTTCAATTTTGTCTTCTGTGAAAAATCATGATTTTTTAGTAGCCTTGTGAAAATTTCAAAATTTTAAATTAATAAAATATGAAAATATCTGAGAGTATTGTCGCTTTTTTCCAAATTTACTGTTGGACCGGATAAGTATAATT